GCTGTCCCACCATTTTGTTATATACCCATTGCCATATCTTCTGCAGGGAAAAACTGGGTGTCCATATGAAAGTATAGATGTCCAATAATTGTTATTGATTTTTGATACCTACTAGTATATCTACATGTAGCAATGTTTAAAACTGAACTTTTTCTGGTACAAATATTGCATATACAAATTGGAATTTCTAAAAAAAAAAAATGATTAAAACTCCAATAATCTAGACATGTATTCTGTATGGCTGGTACAATGTAGGCACTTGACATGATTCTCTAATTATGCAACAATTGCAGGATTTTCAATCAATGGAAGCATTTTCTATTACCCATGTGGCACAGGCGTGTTTCATTAACTGAAAATACTGAGTTGACGACGTGCGTCTTTCCCACCTATCACTCAAGAACCACGGATCAGATTTCAATGTAGCTTAATTCAAACACAGTCTCTCCACAACCGGTTATGAAACGCTATTGTCAAAAGGTGTGAACGAGCTTAGATCGAGAAACAGTGCGTGTTTCAGCCTTCCAGCTGAAGTTATGACGTCATAGTTCACGCTGAAGCACTCACACTGAGGTCGGTCGTTGGTCGAGTCGGAGAAATCAACGTAGTGTAATAGTTTCTTCAAATATATTTTGTAATTGACGCTATTATTTGAGTTTATTTAGTTGTCAGGAACATCTTGAGTGAATATTAGGTTGTGTGTGTCGTTTTTATCCGAGGTATCAAATGATTTGTGACTGGGAACTTCAGGGGCAGTTTTAGAATTGGTCATTGCTTTTGTGTTATGACGATGTCGGTAGTTTTTCCCAAATTGTTGACACTTTATCGAATATATAATGATAATTTTTCGAATTATTTTAAAATTGAATAGGATTTTACCAGGTTAATTCAGTTTATTGCGTTATAGGACATTTATTAAAATTGAAATCGTTTATTTCACAACTCGTTTGTTTTTTTGTGTGTAAAACAAAATGGCTACCACTCGGTAGATCGGTTTCATTTTCAAAACGTCGTGATTTCGTAGCTGATTATATACATATATTCATCAATACTTACTGACAGACAGTAATGCTAGTTTTCTGCTCAAATTTGTTCTTATTTTGTGTATATTGTTTTCTGAAACGACCGCGATTTTGTATAGTCGCCCATCATTGCTTCGTCCACTGTTGGCTCGTAATCTAAATCAGACTCCACATCACGGCTTTCCTCCTCTAAATCTGATGGCCAATCGACATTTTCATCGTCAAAATCGACGAAATCATCGTGGGATTTTCACATTACAGTAATATTTTAGAGTGATCACGGAAGTAAAAACTATGTTGACACGAATGAAAACATTGAAAGTACGCATGCGCACTAAAAAAACGCAATGCTTTGTGGGAGAAATTACATCATCGAATATGCTAATTTTATGTTAATGTTGGGGAAAGATGACAGAACGTCCGTATTTTACCGTTGGCGAAATAAACAACGATTAAGCTGTTAAATAAACAACAAATTAACCGAAACATGCATTGTAACAATAGATATCTGACCGTTTCATAACCATTTGTGGAGGGACTGTGATTCAAAGATGATTCAATGTTGTTTTTGGTTGAAATGCTTACATACTTAATTAACTAATTTGTATAATAGCTACCGGTATTTTCGCAAGTTCCAGTGATATCCCAAGAACCATACTAAGCATATACAAACAGCCCCCCGGGCAGCTGTATTTTTTTTTTTCAACCAAAAATTCATTTTATTACTCATGCACTTACATAAGTTAGAAAAGAGTTTCTTTGGTTAAAATAAATAATATTTTAATTATTCAGTGTACAGCGAATAAATTTTATGTTTATATACACTTCTATTAAAGATGTGCTTCTGATAGAGCAAATACAGAATTTGCATATTATTATAAATATACGTGATGTTACATGACATACCACTCTGTGAGGTACATCAAAAACTAATTTTTGCAAAGATTAAAAAAATATACCTGTAGTTGAAAAATTGCATAACTAATATCAGTGCTGGAAATTGAAGTCTGTCTACCTGTCCTAGACAGGCAGATTTTAGCTGACAGGTAATTACAGAAATTGTCTGTTCCTTTGGACTAATAATTCACTCTCAGTTTGCATAAGCTGCAAGTGTTGTAAAACAATTCCATGTCAATGGATGAAGAAAGCAATAATACTCTAATATCTCAATTTTTGTAAAACACTACATCCTAGTTTACAGTACTTTAGCTGATTGGAACATTACTTTTTATTCTGCAACTGAGATGTAAATTTAATGTTTAGTTCCCACCAACGGATACAATTCAAAGGATAATCATGTAACTACAAGTTATTGTATAATTTCTTACTCGTTTATTTTTGTTTATTTTTTCAGTGTAACTATGTTCTTGAGACAGATGCTCTGTTATCACTACAAAGACCTGAATATGATGTGATAATGTGTCTCAGTGTCTCCAAATGGATTCACCTTAACTTTGGTGATGAAGGACTGAAAAGAGCATTTAAACGAGTATATCTTCAACTTAGACCTGGTGGAAGGTTTATTTTTGAACCTCAATCCTGGCAGTCATATTCAAAAAAGAAGAAACTCACTGTAAGTAAGATTTGTGTCCAAATAACTGATGCTTGTCTCGGTTGTTCACATTTGTGTCTTCGCATCTGGCAGATTGTAAGTGTAAATTATCTCTGTATCAACTGGAACTTGCTCTCAAAAAAATATGCTTATCATAGTAGGGCAGCCTGTCACATCACCATTCTGATTCTGTCGTTAATTCGCCCTGGGCCGTTAAACGGCAGTTTTGGGGTTTTTAGTCCCCGTTTGGACGAAGTTTGAAAACAGGGACTATTATTTTGGGTTTGTTCCGTCCGTATGTACATTCGTACATCTGGAGCTATATCTCGGACACCCATTGACAGATTTCATTCACACTTTACATGAAGACAATACATAATGTCTTACATATGCACGTCAAGTTACCTCATGATCAGAGCAAAAATGGCCGTCTGGCGGCCATTTTGGATGTAAAATTTGCTATTTCTGATACCTAAACGTGTCCGCAGCAATTTCTCAGAGATGACTGGGCCGCTTTTGGATCAGGTTGGTATGATGATCATACATATTGGGTTGTAGGTGCACGTAATTTTTTTTTCGTGATTCGAACAAATATGGCCGACTGGTGGCCATCTTGTTTTTCCTGGTACCCTTGCTACTTTATCTTGGATGCAATGAATGTTTCTGTTTAAATTTTGTACAAAGATAGTATACCAAGAGATACATCTGCAGCAACATGATTTTTGTGATTCAATTCAATTTTCTGGCCGACGCCCAATTTTCATGTAAAAGCGTTAAATCGTCATTTTTTTTTACATGTTCGGAACTGTTTCTCAGAGATGACTAGGCCAATTTGGATCAAAGTTGGTATGATGATCATACAGATTGGGTTATAGTTGCATGTTATATTATTTCTGTGATTCAAACTAATATGGCTGACTGGTGGCCATTTTGTTTTACATGATACCCATGCCTACTTTCCCATGAATGCAATGAACATTTCTGTTTAAATTTTGTACAAAGACAGTATACCAATAGATACATCAACATGAACATTATTTTTGTAATTTGATTCAATACGACTGCCCAATGTCCAATTCTCGTGTAAAAGCACTAAATCGTAATTTTTTACAAATCCATCTTTTATTAGCTCCGCTGTCGACTTTGTCAAGCGGAGCTTATCATATGAGTGGTCGTCCGTGTCAACATTTTACTTTTTCAACTTTTTCTTGAAAACTACAAGCCTGAATGCTTTGATACTTGGTGTATATGTACCTTGGGTAGACCTCTCTCAGATTTGTTCATTTCATGATCGTATCTTCAATTCTCTAATTTTGGTAAATATTTTTGTCATTTTTGGTAAAAAGTAATATTTTCGACTTCTTGTTGTAAAAACCACAAGTCCAATTGCTTTGATATTACATAATACTGTAAAATGACTAATTTTCACTGGGTTTAAATTTCACTGATTTACCATTTCAGGCATATTCAGTGGGTTTTAAATTCACGGTTTCGTCATTTAGATAATGTGTTCTATGCTAAGTTTTACATATTCACTGTGTTTTAATTTAGCGCATTTTTCCAGTCAGCGAAATAAGCTAAATTAAAACCCAGTGAATAATTACCCCTTTTACAGTATGTAGGTACTACATGTGGATCTCTCTCAGATTTGCTCATTTTGTAATGATATCTTAATAAATTCTCTAATTTTGATGAATATTTTTATCATTTTTGGTAAAAAGTGATATTTTGACTTCTTGTTAAAAACCACAATCATTTATTGTAAAATATGATATTTTTGAAAACAGCAAGTCCCATTGCATTGATACTATGCTTATTGTTCATTTTCTAATGATATCTTCTATTCTTTAATTGAAATGTGCATTGCTAACAGCGGAGCTATCTCAGCCGAGAGGCTGCTGGTTAATGGTTTCAATCAAATCTCAATGACTTCATCAGCATCAAATTGATATGTCAGATCACAAAATTTTTCTGCAGTTTTTAGCTCCGCTGTCGACTTTGTCTAGCGGAGCTTATCATATGAGTGATTGTCCGTCATTATCTATCGTCCATGTCAATGTTTTACTTCTTTGACTTCTTCTTGAAAACTACAAGCCTGAATGCTTTGATACTTAGTGTATATGTACCATGGGTACACCTCTCTTAGGTTTCTTCATTTCATGATAATATCTTCAATTCTCTAATTTTGGTGAATTTTGGTAAAAAGTGATGTTTTCGACTTCTTGTTAAAAACCGCAAGTCCAATTGCTGTGATATTACATATATAGATACTTTATGTGGACCTCTTTCAGATTTGTTAAATTCGTGGTGATATCGAATTTTGATGATTTATCGAATTTTGATGATTATTTTTGTCATTTTTGCTGAAAAGTGATATTTTTGAATTCTTTCCATCAAAATCCAAGCCAAAGGATCAACAACATCGGAAAATCTCTTCTGTGCTTCGTTCAATAACATTAACATATTTAAATGAGCTATGGTGATTTGGACACATTGTCATCATCCGTCATTTTGATTGGTTAATTAGTGAAGAACTTCGTCCCAGGTCAAAACATGGTGGATATTCATTTCTGCAGCATCAAGCGTTATAAATGCGGCCGGAATCATTTGCTTTATGATGAAATAAGTTGAAATTTATATTCATTTCAATTCAACAAATTTATTTTTTGCATATTATTACAATGACTATTAGGTTATAATGCGCTGGGTGACATAATTGTAATGAAATTTTTTTCCAGTATGAAAAAAAATATATCAAATTTTAGATTAGCTTCTGCAATAGTTTGTTTTCTTTTGGGTAGACCAACTGCGTTAAAGTCAGCATAGGTGGATTTTTTAATGAAAATACAAGTCCCCGAAAAATATTTGTTTTTGTTTTTTTCAAATTGGATGGGCGAATTTACGGCAGAATCCAGTATTTCAGCCTTGTCCCATAATGATAGTAAAGTAGTGAGGTATAGAGGTTATAATGTTTGTCGTTGTCGTCGTCTGCATTATCGTCTTAGTCTTTAACAGTTCTTGTTTCCAGAATAACTGAAATAATTTTTGTTCAATCTTCCCCAAACTTTAAAATATTATCAACCAATATATAATCATAGTGAAGTTTAAGTTTGGTATAGCTGGCTCGTATATTTATGGAGATATTGAGAAAAAAATGTTTCATTAGCTTGAACAGAAGTTTTATGGAAACATGAATCCAACACAAGTGTAATCAAGTAAAGAAAAATGAAAACATGCATGTATACATGTGTGAAGAGTGTAGATAATTAGCACTTATATTTACTTTCCCTGTGTCAGAATGGTTTATATAACATAAATTTCCGCAGATCATGGGCCAGGTGATCAATAGCTTTACTACATCATCGGCAGGGTAGAGATGGATGTGAATGTTTCACTTCCCTTGTTGCTGGAGTGGGGAGTGGGGGGGGGGGGGTTATGTGGTTGACTAGTTCAAAGGTATATGACAGGTCACCATTTTGTTCTCTGCACTTGCTCAGTTGTAAAGTGTCCCCACTTAACTCTTGAGTACCAGAGTCAACTGTTGTTGTCTTTCACAAAACAATAGAATATTTTTCTATATTTGTTCCAAAATGTTGTACAAGATCTGTGTTATAGCAAATTAATAATTGCGTTCATTTGGTCCAAAATTAAGAGATTTTAGAAAAATAGCCTCACTAATATTTTGGCAGTCCATCATTTCAAAAGAAAGAAAAAAACTGTTATTACCAAATTTGTATTCAATTATCCATCTTTTAGTTGATAAGCTATGTACATCAATGTAGAAAAAAAGGTGTAATTATATTTTGAAAAATGCTAATCCTGGGACCAGAACAGATAGTGTGACTAGCTTCAGCTACTGTTAATTTTGTGTCCTGATATGAAATCCCAAGACCTGCTTTCAAAAGGTGTATACTGAGGCATTAAATGGATGTTTTTACTCAATTTCATTATACTAAAAACAACCTTCATTAGATCTGTTTCCTGCATGTAATTGTGCATGAAGTTTTTAATTTGCAAATGCATTTCCGAAGCTCTTTGGGATTTGTTATTCTACTTGACTTCAGTGTGAAAGGCTTCAAAACATTTGTGAAAGTGAAAAAAGCAGTGTTCTCCCACAACCAGGATAATTGTATGACAAGGCAAGTCACCATTGTTTAATTTTCTACTTTATAACTGAGGGACAGCGCCCTCTGCTGATGTGTGACTGCCCTCTAATGTCAGCCTGTTTCTTTGACAGGCAACTATTTTTTTCCACTGGCTTTATTTTAATATTTTTTTGTATGTTTTTTGACAATTTTGTCAATTCTAATGTCCAAAATCATGCCTTTAACATATTTTTGACAGGCACTTTTAAATTTCTGCTTAATTCCCTGCTACTTAACAAAAGGGCAAACAAGCCCTGTGACTGCAGTGGTTTGTACACATCCAAACATGGATGCTTCTATTACATTTATGTAATATTAAGTTTAATACAATTAAGACATTTTTTGCAAAGAAAATTTATTAGAGAAAATTCTAGTCTCGATATAAATAGTTTGAGTAGATTGAAAACTGAATATTAGAGAGGGAGAGGCAACAACAGTATTTCCTTTGTTTTAACCTACAGTACAGTTCTCGCGGAAGCTTTGGCTTCACTTCAGCTTCACCTTCGCTTCAGCATCGCATCATTATGGCATTGTTATGGCTTCAGCATCGCTTCAATGTCGCGACATTAAAAAGTTAGGCGATTATCGCTTCGCTTCATTGTGGCCTCATTATGGCGAAAATGTGGCATCAGCATCGCTTCATCAAACAAAGAAGTACTGTACTCATTTCCCCCAAACCTCTTGACCGCTTCCGCTTTTGACCGATCAATTTCCGTTTTATTTTCGACCGTGCAACAATTCGGACTACTAAAAATTTTCTGGTTTTCATAGATCAC